AGTTCGGACCTAACCTGAGGTGGTGATAATAGACCTTTGAATTTTAAGTTTAAGTTGTGAAGATCTATCCTAAAGGATATTTTTTTGTAAAGATAAATAGTGATTTTATACAAGTCAATTTTGTGGTATAACGTGGTTGCATGATGAATTCGTCGGTTTTCCATTTTAAGCAACCTATTTCTTTGAGTTTATGTGATATCCTTTGATGTTTTCTTTTACCGTATATCAGTCTTAAGCAACTGTTTTGTATTTTTTCTATTTTTTTGAGGTTACTGTTAAATTTGGACCATAGACAGATTCAGCAAAATTTAAATTTGATAGAGACATTTTAATAATTTTAGGCAACAAATTACGATTACCGTATATCAATTTTAATGAGCTATAAGCTCTCTGAATCAATTTAATAATGTGTTTTTAGTTTCCTTTACTATGGTTAGTCTATCATTATTAATTTCAATACCTAATTCTTCAATAATTTTGTCACGATTACGACTTAATCCAAACATCATATTAGATTTTGTAGCATTAATTAGTAAACAGTACTTGGTTGTTGATCCAACAAAAGAGGCCAATTCACGATTAATTGTCTCACACGTTGATAGATCTCAAGGGGAACTGTAGCAAATCTTAGTGTCGTTGGCATATAGGTGAATTTTGCAGTTTTCTAAAGAATGAATAAGGCTCTAAGTGTATATTGAAAAAAGCAGAGGGCCCAAAATGGAACCTTGGAGAACCCCGAGTGAAGATGTAAAAATTCTGATTTATTTTCATTAATTTTAACACATTGTTTGCGATTTTGCATAAAATATTTAATAAATAATATCAAGTTTCAATTTTGCTAATCTTACTTTGATTAATTGGAGGTAATTCTGGATGAACTTTAGTAAACAAATGAGTTTTTTCAGCCTGTCTTCTGCTCCCATAGCTGATCGTCATTAAAATTTCGATACGATGCGTCTCGGTTAAATAGGATTTTTCGAAAATACTTGTTTCAGGAATTTTGCGACAAACCTTTATTTAGTAATTTAATTTAATTTGTTTCAGTTAGACTTTCCACTCTGTTTATACGAGTACATTCATGAGAAAAATTAAATATTTAGAGATTGGAGAAAATTAAAAAAATAATATGTGACCAAAATGAAAACATTATTACTAATAACTACGCTATTGCTAGTTTGCAGTTTGTATCCCGTTGGGAAAGTGTTACCAAAATAGAAAGGATGAATACAAGCCTCATAAAATTGTAAAAATTAAGATAATAGAAAAAAAATAATCTCGAGGTTATGTCACAAAAAAATACGAGTGATCTTTTATCTCCAGAAAACAACTGTTTATTTGGCTAATACCGCAATAGGCATTGGATTATAACCAAATAAAACCAGCAGAGGTAGGTATTACAATGAGAATGTGGAAAGTGACATTTTTCACACGAGTTGGAAATATTGTCGCACGAGGCATAAACCGACTGCGACACTCACGCGAGTGTGAAAAATCACTTTCACGCAAGTGATGTACAATATTTTTCACAAAATAATTTTATCAAAAAAATTTAAAACTAGGAAATCTGGTAATAAAGGTTCCATCAAAATGTGGATGGTTTTAGATTTTTTTATATGTCTTATTGAATAATTTTTAAAGCGTTTTAGTGTGATAGTATTTTGTCAAAACTTAAAATATTGTGATTCCATTTATAAACAATTTCATAGGATGATAAAGATAAAATAACATTACTAACAAAAAATATTATAATTATAATATATTAATGTTTTTCATTAGTTTCTTCTTCTTCTTCTTCTTCTTCTTCTTCTTCTCTTTCTTCTTCTCTTTCTTTTTCTACTTTTTCTCTTTCATGGACAATGTCTCTTGGACAATTTCCTTGTCTTGCTCTAAACTGAGCAATGAAACAGGCATCCATGTGGAGTGACCGTAAATGAACAGTTCCTAAACGTACAATCCATTTGGATGCCATCCAACCGAATTCATTCCATTTGGCCAATACTCGCTAAACACAAATAAGGTACACAAATCTCCTAATAGATGAGAGCGTCGGGCAATCGTAGGAGATACGTTCGATATTATCATCTTCTTGTTGGCATCCTCAATAGAGTACCGGAGTCTGGAGGTACTTTCGGATTTGGTCATGACCAGGCAGGATGCCTGTGATCAGGCGTAGATTCTGTCTAGTCATGTTCATATTTATTTGCTGCAGTGTTGTCAGGATAACTTAAAAGCTTCCCAGCAACTCTGCAGTTTCTTGTTTCATCCCACCTTTTCTTGAATTTCTCAAGGGAATCTCCTTAATAAGGTTAGTTACGGACTGATGTTGTTAGTCCAAGAAAGACCAGGTCCAAAAATTATTTAGTTGGTTGGCTTCTTGGCTAGTGAATCGGCAAGCTATTAGCTTTCAATGTAATGTAAATCTTTGATCCATGCTTGGTGACATTTTAGTACTATAACCCTAAGTAAATTCGTGGGCTATGTTTCTTCCTGTGTTAAATAAATATCAAGGGAAGTAAAACTAAGAATAACTTCCATAACTCTAGTTGGTATGGTTTTCACGTTATTTTGAGACTATTATTTCTTGAATTTGTTCAAGTTTGCTGATAGTATAGACTGTGATTTGTAAACCTATTAATAGGCTTTATATTTTTTAATAATAAAGAATATATATTTTAAATTACCACCCATCAGTTTTTAAATTTTAGATTGCTTAAATCCTTCTACTTTATATGTGTATCTATTGCTTTATTTTCGTCTAACCTATTTTGTAATGTAATTTTTACCATATACTTTCTTGAAATTGACATTTTTTCTAGTATTTTGTTATCATACCATGGCTTTTCATCACTGTGTATTGTCCCAAATAATGAAACCTTTTATGTGTATTCATTCATTCATTCAATTTTAAACACATTCATTCGTGGATGAACTACAAATACAAACCCTTTAAGTGCTCAGGAATATCAACAACCAATGCCACTTCTTCATCCCCTTTAATCTTTTTATCCTTTACGTTTAAATCTACAACTTTAAATGACACTGGCATATCGTTCTCATGAAAAACGCTTTGATTTTCCCCTTGTAATCGCAAGAGGTCCTCGTTAATTATTTTGGGCGGTAAAGAGGGAGGGGAAATAACTTTTATACCATTGCTGGGGAAAATAGTTGAACTGGAACTAATGGAAGATTCTGCAGACGTTTCGTCTTCATATCTAAAAAGAGCACGATGAATTATATAAGAAAGGAAGAAAGAGAAAGTGTGAATAATTAAGATTAAGATGTTATATTTATAAGCGGTTATTTTTGAAGGAGGGATAAGCAGATAATATTGATTGAAAGAAAGACAGAAAAGAGGAGAAAAGTAGTAAATTATTTTATATCTTGTTATCCTGTATTCACATACCGATGATTTGGATATTTCATAGTGCTACTAGCAGCTGTAGTTGTTCTTCTTCGTTTTTTACCTTTATAAATAAATTGTGCGCTTGGAGGCGACGTAGTACTGCTACTAGTGCTAGTAAATGGGCTTCCCCTGGAATTATAGGAATTATCTTCTATTTCAGTATTATAGGGTTGGCTAATAAATGATTCTGAAATAATTGGTTGAGGAATATTTGTGCTTGTACTATATTTATTTTTATGACGTTGGTTTCCTCTGTATTTTTTCATTTTATCATTTGTTGCTTTCTTATATTGGTTTACTGAAAATAAATTATTTATATTTTACGCAATAAGTTTATTCATTTTTAAAATAATCCCAATTTCCTAATGAATAGAAAGTGTTAAACGCCGATTTTTAATGTCTCGTTTCAATATCGAATTGGCTATTTATCATGAATTTATATTGGATGACATAAGTTGTTCCTTATGCAATTTATTATGTTGCGTAAAAGTAAAAAAAATTATATCTTGAAAAATTCACGATACCTTTCGTTTTATTATCCCTTAAATTTAAATTAGAAATAATATTTAAATTGATAGCACAAATATTTTATATATTTAAGCATACTAACCTGTATCGTGTTGAACAACCTTAGGAAAGTCATATTTTATTGCAAGAGCTTCTTCAACATTTTTTTCTGTCGGAGATCCAACTATTTGAGTTACCGGTGGCTTTGTATACAAATCTTCTACGTTATTTCCGTTGCTATCTGGTGTAAAAGGTAATACCTTCATTATAGCCTTCGACTTTCTTTCTAAAAATATAGAAACAATATTAGGATTTAAAAGATTGAAAATGATATATTAATAATATTGTGTTTATTTTCAACAAGATCTCCAAATTACAGAAAATTGAAGAATAATAAAAAATAATAAAAAAAAATAAATAATATAACAAAATATAACAAAATATAACAAAATATTACAAAATATAACAAAATATAACAAAATATAACAAAATATAACAAAATATAACAAAATATAACAAAATATAACAAAATATAACAAAATATAACAAAATATAACAAAATATAACAAAATATAACAAAATATAACAAAATATAACAAAATATAACAAAATATAACAAAATATAACAAAATATAACAAAATATAACAAAATTTAACAAATTATAAAAAATTATAACAAAATATAACAAAATATAATGAAATATAACAAAATATAACAAAATATAACAAAATATAACAAACTATAACAAAATATAACAAAATATAACAAAATATAACAAAATATAACAAAATATAACAAAATATAACAAAATATAACAAAATATAACAAAATATAACAAAATATAACAAAATATAACAAAATATAACAAAATATAACAAAATATAACAAAATATAACAAAATATAACAAAATATAACAAAATATAACAAAATATAACAAAATATAACAAAATATAACAAAATATAACAAAATATAACAAAATATAACAACATATAACGAAATATAACAAAAAATATAACAAAAAATATAACAAAATATAACAAAATATAACAAAATATAACAAAATATAACAAGATATAACAAAATATAACAAAATATAACAAAATATAACAAAATATAACAAAATATACCAAAATGTAACAAAATATAACAAAATATAACAAAATATAACAAAATATAACAAAATATAACAAAATATAACAAAATATAACAAAATATAACAAAATATAACAAAATATAACAAAATATAACAAAATATAACAAAATATAACAAAATATAACAAAATATAACAAAATATAACAAAATATACCAAAATGTAACAAAATATAACAAAATATAACAAAATATAACAAAATATAACAAAATATAACAAAATATAACAAAATATAACAAAATATAACAAAATATAACAAAATATAACAAAATATAACAAAATATAACAAAATATAACAAAATATAACAAAATATAACAAAATATAACAAAATATAACAAAATATAACAAAATATAACAAAATATAACAAAATATAACAAAATATAACAAAATATAACAAAATATAACAAAATATAACAAAAATATAACAAAATATAACAAAAATATAACAAAATATAACAAAATATAACAAAATATACCAAAATATAACAAAATATAACAAAATATAACAAAATATAACAAAATATAACAAAATATAACAAAATATAACAAAATATAACAAAATATAACAAAATATAACAAAATATAACAAAATATAACAAAATATAACAAAATATAACAAAATATAACAAAATATAACAAAATATAACAAAATATAACAAAATATAACAAAATATAACGAAATATAACAAAATATAACAAAATATAACAAAATATAACAAAATATAACAAAATATAACAAAATATAACAAAATATAACAAAATATAACAAAATATAACAAAATTTAACAAATTATAACAAATTATAACAAAATATAATGAAATATAACAAAATATAACAAAATATAACAAAATATAACAAAATATAACAAAATATAACAAAATATAACAAACTATAACAAAATATAATAAAATATAACAGAATATAACAAACTATAACAAAATATAATAAAATATAACAAAATATAACAAAATATAACGAAATATAACAAAATATAACAAAATATAACAAAATATAACAAAATATAACAAAATATAACAAAATATAACGAAATATAACGAAATATAACAAAATATAACAAAATATAACAAGGAATAAAAATAACAGAAATAACAAAAAATAACAAAACAACAAAAAATAACAAGAAATACCAAAATATAACAAAAACAATAAAAAATAACAAAAAACAAAAAAATAATAAAAACAAAAAATAATAAAAAAATAACAAGAAATAACAAGAAATAACAAGAAATAACAAGAAATAACAAGAAATAACAAGAAATAACAAGAAATAACAAGAAATAACAAGAAATAACAAGAAATAACAAGAAATAACAAGAAATAACAAGAAATAACAAGAAATAACAAGAAATAACAAGAAATAACAAGAAATAACAAGAAATAACAAGAAATAACAAGAAATAACAAGAAATAACAAGAAATAACAAGAAATAACAAGAAATAACAAGAAATAACAAGAAATAACAAGAAATAACAAGAAATAACAAGAAATAACAAGAAATAACAAGAAATAACAAGAAATAACAAGAAATAACAAGAAATAACAAGAAATAACAAGAAATAACAAGAAATAACAAGAAATAACAAGAAATAACAAAAAATAACAAAAAACAACAAAAAATAACAAAAAATAACAAAAAATAACAAAAAACAACAAAAAATAAAAAACAACAAAAAATAAAAAACAACAAAAAATAACAAAAAAAGAACAAAAAATAAAAAAGAACAAAAAAAAACAAAAAATAAAAAATAACAAAAAATAACAAAAAATTACAAAAAATAACAAAAAATAACAAAAAATAACAAAAAACAACAAAAAATAACAAAAAATAACAAAAAACAACAAAAAATAAAAAATAACAAAAAATAACAAAAAATTACAAAAAATAACAAAAAATAACAAAAAATAACAAAAAATAACAAAAAATAACAAAAAAATAACAAAAACAACAAAAAATAACAAAAAATAACAAAAAAATAACAAAAAAAAAATAACAAATAAAAAAAAAATAACAAAAAATAACAAAAAATAACAAAAAATAACAAAAAATAACAAAAAATAACAAAAAATAACAAAAAATAACAAAAAATAACAAAAAATAACAAAAAATAACAAAAAATAACAAAAAATAACAAAAAATAACAAAAAATAACAAAAAATAACAAAAAATAACAAAAAATAACAAAAAATAACAAAAAATAACAAAAAATAACAAAAAATAACAAAAAAATAACAAAAAATAACAAAAAATAACAAAAAATAACAAAAAATAACAAAAAATAACAAAAAATAACAAAAAATAACAAAAAATAACAAAAAATAACAAAAAATAACAAAAAATAACAAAAAATAACAAAAAAATAACAAAAAATAACAAAAAATAACAAAAAATAACAAAAAATAACAAAAAATAATTACAGTAAAAAGATGAAAAACAACACAAAAATAAATTCAATGGAAACAACATTTGGAAAAAAATAAATAATGGGAAAAACTAAATAGGTTAGAGTAAAGACATTAAGATACAAAAAACTAAGTAAATAGGAACCAATAATGACAAAAATCGAAAAGAAATATTAAACTGGTATGGTCTAATAAGAAAGAAACGGGAAAGGTAACGAAAAAAAAGAAAATAAAAAAAAGGCAGCTTGGAAAGCTCAGGAGAAAATGGACTGATCAGATTAAAGAGATCATAATTGGAAAGGTGACAAAGAAACTAGCCAGGTACAGAAAGGACAAAATGGGTCCAGAAAGAAAAAGAATCTTACGCTTAAAAGGCGGAATATGAGAAAAAATAATTTCTCCTTCGTATCTTAGACTATAACTAAGCTTTTAAACAACTAGATTGAAATGTCAAACAAAATTTGTTGCAAAAATATCATCGCCTACTAGATAGGCTCAGTAGAAGGAGAATATCTATCGTATGTTTCTTCTTTATGTAGGTTATAAGTATACGGGTCATCTTATATATACCAGATATTATTTTTATTTTCTTAATAGTTCACGCCTCTTTCGCATACAAAATAATGATACATAATGATACACTTAGAAATTAGGCACTTACCGTACGGTCCATAGACAGAATTAGCATCACTCTTAGTAATATTTTCCAATAAATCCAAAATTTCGCCCTTAGTCAGCCGAGGTAGTGAAGGGTTAGCTTTTAATGCTGCTTCTACTTCATGTACTGTGTCGTCTATTGAATTAGGTGATGCAGCTTCTTTATTTATCGAGAATCTTATTGGGTCGATTAAGTAGTTCACTTCAGATGGAGAGGCATGGTTTGGTATATTTATATTTCTGGGTAGACAGTTGATGGAGCTCGTAAAAAATAGTAAAAAGATGTAAATCTGAAATCAAAAAAAAAATTTATGAATTTTTCGTTTTATTATTGTAGATTTATTTTTTCGATTCATCACATGATTACAGTTTCTTATTTTAGTATTATTTACTTAAATTAGCAAAATAGTTCTATGAGGTAAGAAAACTCGAAGTTATTTACCACAGACTTTCATTTATATAGATATTAAAATTTTGAGGCGACTATGGACCATCATCAGACCTAAAAAGTTTTTTTAATAATATACCTAGTATCAAACTTGGTAAATATTGATATTTTTTCTTGTTCCTAAAATACTGTTTAATACCAACAAAGAACAACTACTAGACCCATTTTGTTTATAAAAATCGAATTGCAAACATTCACGGTGTCATCCACGTAGTTGTCAAATGATATTATGAGAGAGTTTGGGAGAGTATTGTCTTGTTTTGAGGTTTGTTTATGGTTATAATTCGGAATTGACTTAACAAAAAACTATAAATCACACAAAATGCTTTCAAAATTAAATTAGGAAAGTATATTTGTATTTTTAATGCCAGTTGTTCTCAGTTTAATGTATTTTTCGCAATTTATTTTGAAGTGTGACAGCAGTGTAAAGCAAGCGTAGTAGACGTAAAAACTGATCCATTCATAAAATGAATGTTCACTCCTCAGATAAACATACTCGCACAAAACATTCCCATTCAAATTAGCAGCTGTCTCCTTTCTAATGCGGCAGTCGATGAGACAGCTCTGTCTGCATAATAATAAACACAATCCGAATTATTGCAATAATTAATAATGGCTTTATGGCTTAATTATGAATGAATGGATTAGTTTAGTAGTTTTTTCGTCGTTGATTAATATAAAAATTAAAAATATATTTCCTTATTGTTTTAGCATGTATTTTATATTTATATACTGTAACATATATTATTTATTTAAAATACTTTATTTAATTTGTACACTTATATTCAATAATTAATTTACATGAAAATTGTTTTTTGCTGAAATCAGCATTAAAATCTATATTATTAAGGATCATTTTAGCTTACAAAAGTTTTCTCGCCCAGAACAAGGTTGTACAACTGATCAATTGATCTTTACCCAACAAATTCTTTCTATTGACTTAACTCAAACGGCAAAATTTTCCTATATAAAAATGCTGCGCACCGCACTGGTTCTGGAAGAAATCTAGGTACTTTTTGAATATATTAGATGAGTTCTGGCAACGCTTACAGCAAACTTCTACAGCGTTCGCTTCGCACTCTACGCAGATCAACCGTCTCGCTTTGTGCAGCATAGGCGTATTGGAAAGGGGTTTCATTGTTGACTATATTAGATATTCTTTAAATATTTTTTGTAATGTGACAAGTGAGGGCCTAAATAAGGCAAAAGGGTTTTAAACAGATTAGCATGACCGACTGGTCAAAAATGGCTCGCGCGACAACACCTTCCAAAATATTATTTAAACTACTTTGTTTTGTTAACTCACTATATTTTCTTTTTGTTGGTAACCTAGTGAACACTGGTTTTTTTGGGTTAGTGTGCCCTTTTCTCTAAATAAATATATAAATAATAGTGATTTGTGGGACAGAAGTGGATATGATTATTTTTGAATATTAAGATAAAATAAATAATTTAAAAAAAAATTATGACTAACTAATTTATATAATAAAATAAACTTGAAAAAGTTTTAATTTAATTAGTCTCCCTCCGCATGACATACAAATGCCTTAATCTCTGCTTCATCGCCACATATACTTAGTTTTAATACTCGTAATTAAATAATTGATTTCATATAGTTTTATTAAACTATACGGTTTATTTATGAAATAAAACCAAAGGGTTTATAAACTACATTACACAATCGATATAAAAGAACTAGAAGATCCAATAAAAAATATTAAAATAAGTAGAACAAGCGGAGAGCATTATGTAGACCCACAGATGTTGAAACATGAGATACAAAGGAAGATAATGGCTGTATACAAAACCTATACAAAACTTATACAAAACGTATACAAAACGTATTTGCTCAGTGTGAAGTCATGGTAGGGGAAGTAAAAGTGATACTAGCGCTAGCTGCGGATAATTCGTACATTTTAGTGCGATATTTTGTAATTTTGGCATATCAACTTCACGTATACTTTTTACTTTTTTTCAAAAAAATAGGTAAAAACAATACAATAAGTAACCTTAGTTACTGTGTTGTAAATTGTAAAAATACTAGTAAAAACGAAAGTGTAAAAAATAAAAAATTTCAAAAGCAAAGTGGAAATTAAATCAAAGAAATAAATGGATAACTATACAATAAGAAGAAAAATTATCTTTATTTTTGTAATATTAAAAGAAATACTGGAAATAGCAGAAACTTGAAAGATTTTATATAAACAATCAATTATCATTTTACGATGTTCTTCAACATTCCTTTAATCTTAAATATTTAGCCAGAATTAGATTTCTGCCTTTGATTATAGATTGGAATGCAATTTTGTGACTTACTGATAGGAAACCAGTTTTAATCATTTATTCTGTTTTCTTTCGAAAAAAATGAAAATATAAATAACAATTCTTCTGTTTATACATTTTAACTTTACGATATTAGTTATTGGTATTTTTTTTATTTTGACAGAATAGGTTAATTCTTTAAAGACAACTTATTAGACTTAGGCAACATTTATACATACATTTTCCCGTAAATACCTACTGTTGCCTGTATTATGCCTGTTGTCTGTATTATTATTGATTTTTATTGATTATATTTATTTTTTTTAGCTCAAGCGATAAAAATATACTGGGTGTTCAAATTAAAGAGTTACAGTTAAATACCGCCTTTTATAAAAAAAAAACGTTTCAGATGAAATCATAACTAACCATAATATGGCCAACTTTCTTTTCGCGCAGCAAAATTTTCAAGTAGATGTTACTCAATAAGTAAAAGTCCAGTAAAAAAATGTTTCCTTTAAAAGTTACACTTTTTTTTATGAACTTTAAGAATATGTAAAAAAATGAGGTTCTCATAAAAAAAAAAAAAGTTTACCTCGATATGGCTATATTATGGTCAGCTATAAAAAAATGAATTTAGCCAAAATGTTTTCCCCAAAAAACCATAAAACTTTTGTCTGAAACTTTTTTTTATAAAATACATATGTTCGGCGGTATTTAACTGTAACACTTTAATTTGAAAACCCGGTATATTAATAAAAAAATAGTGTTTCACTTGTTTTACAAATCCATATACTTTTATTACAACTAACATATATACTTTTTAATTACGAATTATATTAAAAATTGTATTGTCAGTATACGCAAAAATAGTCCATTAGTACATAAATGAATAGGCGCTGCAGTTACGAACGGAGCGAATACAAAACGTATACAAAACGTGTACAAAACGTGTGCAAAACGTATACAAAAATGTATACAAAACATATATAAAACGTATACAAAACGTATACAAATTTTATACAAAACGTATACAAAAGTATACAACACATATACTAAAGGTATACAAAACGTATTAAATGATTTACAAAACGTATAGAAAAACGTATACAAACCTCAAACAAAACTTGTACAAAACAATATATAAAACGTATTTAAAACCAATTCAAAACGTATTCAAAACGTATACAAAACGTATACAAAACGTATACAAAACGCATACAAAACGTATACAAAGCTTAAACATAACTTATACAAACTCTATATAAAATGTATTTAAAACGTATACAAAACGTATTCAAATCATATACTAAAAGTATACAACTCATACAAAACATACGAGACGTATACAAATATAATAAAAAAAGTTTTAATGCAAATAGACTTGCCGAAAAAACTAATACAAATTAGAAACTTATTTCAAGAAGACACAGAGAAAAGTAAATAGGGTCCGATTACAATAAGAAGAACAGCTACGTCATCATTTGGCAAACTAATTAATTAGCTAAACGCCGCCTACTGAGGGTTTAGTGGAATTTTAATATAGTAGGAAATATTTTGTTATACCTAATAACATACTTAATTAAAGAGTTACAGTTAAATACCGCCTTTTATAAAAAAAAAAACGTTTCAGATGAAATCATAACTAACCATAATATGGCCAACTTTCTTTTCGCGCAGCAAAATTTTCAAGTAGATGTTACTCAATAAGTAAAAGTCCAGTAAAAAAATGTTTCCTTTAAAAGTTACACTTTTTTTTATGAACTTTAAGAATATGTAAAAAAATGAGGTTCTCATAAAAAAAAAAAAAGTTTACCTCGATATGGCTATATTATGGTCAGCTATAAAAAAATGAATTTAGCCAAAATGTTTTCCCCAAAAAACCATAAAACTTTTGTCTGAAACTTTTTTTTATAAAATACATATGTTCGGCGGTATTTAACTGTAACACTTTAATTTGAAAACCCGGTATATTAATAAAAAAATAGTGTTTCACTTGTTTTACAAATCCATATACTTTTATTACAACTAACATATATACTTTTTAATTACGAATTATATTAAAAATTGTATTGTCAGTATACGCAAAAATAGTCCATTAGTACATAAATGAATAGGCGCTGCAGTTACGAACGGAGCGAATACAAAACGTATACAAAACGTGTACAAAACGTGTGCAAAACGTATACAAAATGTATACAAAACATATATAAAACGTATACAAATTTTATACAAAACGTATACAAAAGTATACAACACATATACTAAAGGTATACAAAACGTATTAAATGATTTACAAAACGTATAGAAAACGTATACAAACCTCAAACAAAACTTGTACAAAACAATATATAAAACGTATTTAAAACCAATTCAAAACGTATTCAAAACGTATACAAAACGTATACAAAACGTATACAAAACGCATACAAAACGTATACAAAGCTTAAACATAACTTATACAAACTCTATATAAAATGTATTTAAAACGTATACAAAACGTATTCAAATCATATACTAAAAGTATACAACTCATACAAAACATACGAGACGTATACAAATATAATAAAAAAGTTTTAATGC